TGAAGGGCTTTTCTTTAGCTCACAATTAATAAAAGTAGTTTGAGCACATGTTTTGCTTTATGATCATAAATCCAGTTCTTCTCCCTTGGGAGAAAAAGCTTTACTTTCTAATTGGAAAAATTTTACTGGGTTATAATTCTCATAAGTTCAAATTTGAAATAAAAACTACTGCTTTTTGCCTGTCTTAACAAATTGCACTCCTCTTTTCAATTGTAAAACTAGATATTTTGAACAATATTTCCTATTAAATGTTATTCAATCCACTTATGGGTGGACATGTTGGAGCCCCACAAATTAATAACCAGTAGTCCGGGGCAACTGGTTTCTGACACCACACTTACTATATTTCTCTGTGAATGATCTCTTTCATTCTTAAAACCATACCATAAAGTTGGTATTATTATCCCCATTATATAGATGAGAAAACTGAGAAATAGCTTGAATAATTTCCTCATGTCAATGAATAGTTATGTACATTTGACTAATCATTCCCATAACGTAGCAATATGAAACAGTGATCATTTAATCAACAGTTTTTCAGTACTGGGACTCCAGAAGCAAATTAACTAGGTGGCTCTTGCTTAAAGGTTTATTGCAGACTCTGAGTGAAGGCCTCAAGTCTTCAGCACATGAGCCTCCCCAAGGTCTGCCAGCGTTTCCTTATGACAAGACACCAAACACATACTTCCAAAAGAGTACGTGATCTAAGAGAGTAAGCAAGAAGCAGAGAGGGGCTGAGACAGGGAGAGAGACAGCAGTCTTTTTTAACTAAACATAGAAGTGACCTACTATCCCTTCTGTCACATTCTACCAGTTACCAGGCCAACCCTGGTAATATATGTGAAGGAACCCCACAGGGAAAAAAATGCCATGGGGTGGGATCATTGGTAGCTGTTTAGATACTGGCTGTGATACTCACAGTGGGTACAGCTACATGATGGACCCAGACACTTTGACCTGAGCACCTGGATTTTTCATTCCTGTGTCAAGGATGACTACAAAGCACATATTTGTGAGTGTTAATACCCTCCAATGAGTATGTGAATACTGGAGGATGCCATTCTTGCCTGTCAAAGAATCCCTGTAAATACGAAGGAGATACGAATATTTATTAAGGGTAGTAGATACTAAATTTCTTAATATTCCAGATTATACATAGGACATTTCAGGAAAGATATGGCAAAGAAGAGACAGAATGAGAAATCCTTTCACTTCTTTTCACTTCAATGTATCATTATCTTTATTGTATTTGTCCCCGTGTCTTCCTCAGCATATCTCTCAATTCTGTCAAGTGTCATGTTAAGAAATATCTAGGGATGGTTTAGTCCTTAAAATTTGTAGCAATAACAAAAGTCTTCACTTTAGATTTACTGAAGGTTGCACTTAATGCTAACATTTTAAAGATTGTTGTAAAAGTTTTCAAATACCACAGTGCCCTGCTCAGGGAGCTAAGTAATTTGGTAAGGGAATTTCTACTTGAAAAAGCTTTGTGCATCAGTGTCAGATATAAATTCAATTGTCAGTAAGCTGTGTCAGAAGAGATTTCTTGTCATATTTGGCCAGAGAGCAGAGATTTATTGAAAATGCTTGGTGATACCGGTCTCCCAGTTGTTTTACATAAGCATAGTAGTGCAGTGAATGATTTAAATCGGTGTGTGTGTGTGTGTGTGTGTGTACATTTTTTTTCTGGCTCTCAGAACTTCTATATGGGGGGAAATGCCAAAAGATACTTCATTACATAGTGCTTTATCCAATTTAATTTAGGATGATTATTTTTGCAACAACTGTGTTAAAAGTAAATGTCAACTTCTGTACCCCTTCAGAAATGAATCATAGATCAAAATACCTCCAAAACTTCAGTTTTGGAATCCTGACTGTTCTATTCCATGTCACAAAAATATGCATTTTTGAGATCTACAAATAGAAAAATGTATTGTTTTTCAAAAGTTTTTACCCACATCAGTAGCCATAATGAGAAACTATTAGTAAAATTTCTTTCTCCAGTAATGAAGAACTGGAAAGAAGAATATAAATCTAATCTAAATCTAATCTCTTGGGTTCTCTCAGTTCCCTAATTTACAGATTTTGTGGCTGGCCAAATTCTTTCATGTTTTTCTATTCACATTTACTTGGCTTCTATATCAGAAGACAGCTGTGAAAAGATGCTTTTTAACAAGTGTAGTATAAAACATTTGTTCATAATAACATTTTTTCCCTTACATTGTTAAGGAAGGAGCCACAATGTGTGACTTAGATGCCACCTATATCTAAGGAAGATGATTATTGTCATGTTTATTTATGAATAAAAATTATCAATACAGGGAACACTTTAAAACCTAGTAATCAAACTTAATGACTATCCAGTGATCTTGTTTGATCAGAAAGTTCAAATAAATTGACTGCCTCAGAGACTATACTTTGTGTTGTATAAAAATGAATTTGGGCCGGGGATTTAGCTCAGTGGTTTTGCCACCTGCTGCACAAGCACAAGGACCTGAGTTTGATCCCTGATACCAAAAAAACAAACAAACAAAAAAACCAAAAAAAAAAAAATGAATTTTTTGCCAACTTGTGATTCTTATTTATAAATATGCTCATTATCATTGTTGTTATAATTATTATAGTTACGGTAACTATACACCACAGAACACTAAATAATGCATCGAACAAGTCTCCAGTTGGTTAAAATATCATATTTTTAAATATTGCTCCTAGAAAACTCCCTCTTATTATCTTGAGGAATAAAATATCTGTAATATTGTACTGTGAAACAACAAAATTATAACCTCTTTAAGGAATTTGTAATAATTTTGTCTTGACTGTTTTCTAACTTTAACCTGATTTTTTTAAATGTCCTTGTTCTCTTTAATTTTTTTTTATTTTTCTGCAACTGTCCATGTTTCTGTGTATCCATAATTTATTCTTTTTGGTACCGGGACCTTGTGCTTGCAAAGCAGGCAGCAGAACCCCTGAGCCAAATCCCTGGCCCCATAATTTATTCTTTATAGCTTATCTTTTATTGAGATATTGTGCCATCATTTATTCTCCAATTTTCTTTCATCTTTTCTAAACTAATTTAGAAAAACTATCCTTTTATCCGTTTTAAATTTAACATTTACAATATTTTGGCATAAATGTATATCTGTGAAAGCTGTAATTTTTCTGGTTCATCACTATTCTAAGCAAATCCAAAGGATAAAATATTGGTTTGATCTTCACCATCATCCCTTTTAAAACTGCAGGAGGAAGCTTCTCTCTACTAGAGGGAAGTTGGCATCACTCAATTTTCTCCTTGAACTACTGTCTATAATTTACTTTCTCTACTGAATAATATACAAAAGTTATCTGAGTTTATGATGTAGAGTCTCTTATTGATCATCTGTCTTCTTTGCAGCATAAAATGTTTATAAATTGAAATTTTAGAGTATTACCTATGACCTTAAGTCTTTAACTGTTTTCTCAATTGAGTTAATATTACAATTAGTGTTTCTGCACAGCTGTATGTAAAGTAAGGTTTTATTGGAATTTCACCACTTAATGACACGAGTTGGGCTTTTTGTGCTTTAATTTTACGTATCCATGTGGAATACTACTTACTGCATACATTCTATTCCAATGTCTTCTTACTGTTGTTTTTACCAAATCTTGTTTGTATATGTATAAGTATTTTAACAATGACTTTTTTTATACCAATCACTCAGTGATTTTTACTCCTCACAGTTCACTGTGAACTCTTGCCCAAAGTCATTTTTAATAATCTTTTCACTCACAACTAGATAAGGCCTTCCTCTAATTATGCTGCAAGAAAAGGTAAAGAAACCTCCTGATTTGCAAAATAATTTTTTATTAATTCAAGTGTCTTCCTTTTCTATTTTCTGGATGGTGCAGCAATCAGTGTGAAGCTGTACCAAGACTTAGCAAATAATATAATATAGACTTGCAGTTTTTTCTGCTTAGAAGTACAGTAATCCAATGTGATTTTGATTTGTATTGAAAATGTTGAATATGATTTTAAAAAATATTTTCTTTTGGCAAATGTACGTGTATGTACAGTACATGCTGAACCCCAGTGATTTGCATTAAGAAAGAGCTAAATAAAAATTATTTATATAAAGAAAATAACTATTTCATAGACTGAATCATATTACCAAAACTGATCGTTTCTGTAGCTGGCTTAAATTCCATATTTTGGTACTAAGTATAGGGAATATTAAATATTCTATAAGATGATTTAAAATAAAGATTCACTGTAATTTGAATAAATATTTCAAAATATTATATAAATGAATGACTGTTGAATAATGAAATTGAACACTGACTAAACCTACAAAATATAGTATTGTACAGTATTTTACCTGTAGGTTTCAGCCAGTGTAACTAAAACATGTTGGTGTTCTTGGAAGGCAAAAAAAATTTAAAACTTCAGTTAAATTTAAAATATTGTGTCACTATCCTAAAAAACTTTGAATGTTTGAAGGATTTTCTATTTAAAAATAAATTCAAGGAAAGGATATTGAGAATATACCTTCCTTTTGTCATTCTAGATTGTTTCTGAATAACAGTATATTCATTTACAGAATTCATGGAAATTTTTCAATACTTCCGCAACCCACCCTGCACAATATATTAGATTTGTGAACAACCTAGCATTTCCAATTTCATGTTTCATCCTAAGAAGAAAGCATAAGACCAAAGTTAAGAAAAAAAAGAAACAAGAAAAACATTAGGGTGACTCTGTGGTGAATAATAATTTCTTTAGAACCATGGTAGGTTTTAAACTGCAAAGTAAGGGTCCTTAATAATATGCTTGAAGAGTGAGCTGTCTTTTCTAAAGTAAAAGGGGTTTATGGAGAAAGATAAGTAAGAGAATCTCCATGAAGCTACATGATGCTATGAAGAGTGTACTTGGACTTGAGAATCTAAAAATTTAGCTGTTTATGCTTGTTAGGTAGATACATAGGATTTTTAAAAAATAATCTACTAATATCTTTGTTTTGCAGCTGTTGTGAGTGCCATCCCAGTGCCAACCCTAGAAAGTGCTCAGTACCCTGGAATCCTCCCGTCTCCTACATGTGGATACCCCCACCCACAGTTCACTCTCCGGCCTGTACCATTCCCAACATTGTCAGTGGACCGAGGTTTCGGATCAGGAAGAAGTCAGTGTAATGCATGTTCCATTCTTTTTATTAAGAAAAAATTGAATAGCAAAATATCTTATCAAATATATAGCCTTTTGTTCTTGTAACTTCCCAAGGTTCATTTACTTGTGACATTGGTATGAGAATTTTCTTTTCCAACATAATTGTGTCTTGGATCCAAGCTACGTACTTTTAGACTGATGCCCTAGGAGTCTTTCCACAGTACAATTCACTGACATTATGAGGTGTGTTGGCAACAAAGGCCGAGTGATTCTATAAAACAGTGATATAGAGGGTGCTTTAAATTAATATATCCGACTAACTTGGAAGTTAATAATCAAGGGATAGCTTCTCTTGTATTTTTATTTAGTATCAGTTAATTACACAGAGATATTTCTCATTGATTCCCAGTGAACCAATATACTCGACGAACACTTTGGTTTTCTTTAATCACTGAAGCAGTACTTTTTCAGTTTCTAATTATTGAGAAGTAAAAGATTTCCAGAGTAGTGTTTCATTTATCTGAAGGAAGGCAGGAAGGCAGGAATGGGGGCGGGGTGGGGGGGCTCTTAAGCTGTTATTATACACCCTGGTGATTTCTCCTGTGCCATTTGACGTTTTTTTCCTTTGAGCACAGCATTTTTAAATCGATTTTATGGCTTTCATCTCTTAGTTAAGAACAGGTGACTCAGCAGCTCATATGAGGGATGATGTTTTACAATAGATATAATGGTAACAGCAAGAAAATATATTTGTGAGGTAAGCTATATTTTTTCCAACTCAACAGGGGGATCTCTAAGAAATCATAAATTGTCTAGTTGTAGCAAGGTTAGAATTAAAAGGCATCAAAAATCTGCCAAGGGAGAATTAGATTCATTTTCCCTTTTCTCATTGCACATCATATCCACAGAATAGAGTTGTGTGCAAAAACTCAAGGAAAAATCGCCTCCTAAACTATATACAAGGGAATATATGAGAAACATGAAAGTCTAACACAAATTTCCAGCTCCCAAAGATAACTAGACATGTGATTCCAGTTAAAAAATTAATGGCTCATAAGTCGCTTCACTTCTCATAAAAAGAAAGTTTTGCTAAGTGGCATATGCCTGTAATTGTAGCTACTTGGGAGACTAACACAGGAAAACTGCAATTTCAAGACCAGCCTGGGCAACTTAATGAGACCTTGTCTCAAAAAAAAAAAAAAAAAGTTGTTTTTACTCTATCACCTATATTCTATGACTTTATAAAGAATGTGTAGCATTGTCTTTTCTCTGGTTCCTCTGGCATGACTGACCCAAGCCAAGTTTATTAATTTTTAATCAGTAATTATTTTGTCTTGTATTTCTCATTTCTTTTCTTTTTAAAAAATACATAGTCCTCTTCTGAGAATTTATTCATTGAAGTCCAGCATCCCATCTACACTTTCCTTCATTTTCTTGATTTGGTGCAACATGAAAAATATTATCGTATTAAATCATGGAGAAAATGATTAGAAGTGAAAGATACTGATATAAAATGTGTTTTTCTCCCCTGTGGTTAAAAAAAGATTTACTCTCACACACTATTTTAGTGTGTGCTTTTGATAGTGGAAAAGCTGTATAGTAGGTATGTAGGAAACTTCTGTATCTGCCACATAAATTTTTGTGAACTTAAAAACCTCTAAAAATTGAAGTCTATTAGGAATTAATTTAAAAATTTAATCTCTGTAGTAGACTCTTCATTTTCATAATTTCTTTAGAAGAAAGGATAAAGATAATTATGTAACATATACATATATTATATGAGGTTACATAAGGAAAGTGTTTAGTAATTTTTGAACTTCATTTAAAATCACAAGGCAATGGATATTCCATTCATGGCCAAGATTTTATAGATTTTTAAAATATGAATATTCAATTAATTCATCAAATGGGGTTTTTTTGGACAAAAGAGTGCAAAAGAAATAGGATCTAATGTATGTTTCAAGTGATTGTTTAGAAAAGAAAAAAAATTTGAATTAGCACTTTCTTTTCTAGGAGATGGAATATTCTCTAAATCACTGTCAGTAACAGTTACTTTTGAGCCAGTCCGTATTGGTTTCTAAATGCTTTGGAGAACAATAAACATCCCTGTTCTCTCTCAAGCAGAAAACATTTCATGACTCTGTGTGGAAATGTCTTATTAGTCACCTTGTGAGACAGAGAAAGATACACATAGAAAAAGCTGGCTTTTCCAAGTGTAGAAACTCTGTCTCCAAAGTTATCTGAAAGACTTCTGAGTTTCTTGGAGATAAATTACTAAAGCCTTACCCCAAAGATTTGCCCCTTTCTAAAGTCACAATGCCAGATTTTTTCCCCAACTGTAAGAAAAGGGAAGCTATGCTATATACATTTGCTTTTCTTGCATTTACTAGCACATCAATAGGGATCTATATAGTTGTGATGGACAAATAATTCCTTTTCCAACTGAGAAACTGTAGTTCTTTTCTTAGCCTTTGCAGGCAAATGGGGAACAGTGAATAGCACTGTACTTTGAAACCGTCTAAAATAGGTAGTGTTGGGACCACACATCATTTATGAATTGATGCCCACATTCCCTCATCTTTGAAACAAGTAGGTAGTAGAGAAATTTATATGATTTCCACTATACATTTCAATTCTGATATTATCTTAATTAATGGGGAATTTGTTCACGCTACATTTATGACCTAGTTCTCCCACAAACTGTAAGTCAACTAACAAATGGCATTGACTTAGATTAATCAGGAATGCAGTGGCATCCATGAACTATGCCCTAGGGTGCTTTAAAAAATCCAGGCTGTGAAGAACTGGATTACTAAAAATATTGCATGATACTGTACTTCTGAGATTAATAAGTGAATTGAGAAGCCAAAGGTTTGCATGTCTCAGAGTCTTTGCTTAAAGTTATTGGTGTGCTATATTTTTATCAAATATTCCAGTTTTTAGATAGAAAAAAAACCCTCATTGCTATTTTTGTAATATTTTTACCAGCTATTCTGTAGCAATTATGTGTGTTGACATTAATTATTATAAAGCACCTTAAGATTTGACTCTGCTGTGTAATTGTAGACTATTTGTACAATGAGTTCGGACTACATCATTATTTGAACGAGTGCCTTGCCAGCACCTATTTGATTCTCATCCTGTATTCTGAATTGCACTTCATGGGTAAAAGTAGCTTTTCTTTGCTTTCAGAGCTCTTAGCCCAGCTAAATGTCATGACACTGAGCCAATGTGTTTCACATAGGTGTTCTGGACCTGGCACCTGAACTGGTCAAACAGGTTCATCTGAAATGAGAGCATGTCTCTGGTGAAGAAGTTGTTATTGTGTTTGTTTAAGTGTTTTCACTGCCTTAAATGCCAGCCAGTTCTGAAAAGTATTTATTTTGCTCCAACAAAAATATAAGAATTATGAATTATCTATGGAAACCCATGTTCATTGTCAATGTAGGTAATTTCTTTCCAACTAGGGATGATATGAAGGATGGATTTCATCCTTAATATTTGGATTTGGAGCTAGTCCTTTCACATTAAGGCCCTGTCACGGCAATCCCACTGGGAATCACAGTGGCCAGGTAGAAATTGGGGCTGCAAGACTGAGCATAGAGAATTTTTATTTTCAGAGATGCTGATGAAGATCAACATTGTAAAAAAAGAGCAGGATTAGGAGTGGCCAACATAATTTCAAAGATATTATATATTTATATAATGCATGAGTTTTTATCAAAATAAGAAACTGGGTTTCAAAGGATTTTTTTAAATGCATGTAAATTTTATTAAAGGGATCACAATAATATAACATTTCACTTCAAAATGCAAAAGAAATAGAAAATGAAAGGAAGGAGAAAAATAAAGGAAATCAAAGTATTCCTTTAATACTAAAACAGTTTTTAAAAATGATATGGATTAGTTGTAGCCCACATTTTATAGAATTACCCAAGGTACATATCACCAGAAAATTGTGAATTTCTTACCCCTGACGGATATTTTTAATATGATGATATGGATCCTTCAATAAGAATCAGCCTGTGGGAGATAAAAAGGGATCAGAGAGAAGCAGCCTCAGGAATAAAGAGGCCTTCCCTCAAGTGGAAATCAAAGCATTTTAGGTCCCCTCAGACTTTTCCCTGTAAGATTATAACCATCTCCCCTTTTTTGAGGAATAGGGGGTTGAACCCAGGCCTTCCCACTGAACTATTATCCCAGCCCACCCCCCTCTTTTTCAAATTTTGTGACAGGCTATCACTAAATTCCTCAGGCTGAGCTCAAATTTGCAATCCTCCATCCTCAGAATCCTGAGATTACAGGCATACTTTAGGATGCTCAGTTTTATAAATCCCTTTTGATGAATAATTTTCTCCATCCTTAGGATTATCTCTACAACACCTTCCGGAAGAGCCTATTTTTCCCCTTCCGCACTCCTAACACTTCATAAGTATCCTTTAGCACTTGAGATTTGAAAGAAGTGCCAACAAGGCGACCCACATTAAAATGGACCTGTTTATGGTGACAAAGAGTAAAAATAGAACAAAGCCATCACTTTTGGGCCAGTGGCACCAAATGTCATCTTGGGATATGGCTAAATAATCAACTCTTTATTTGGAAAATTAGCCACAAGTCATTTCTTCCTTTAGATTAAATATTATTAGCTCAGAGGAAACCTGTATAATTTTGTCTCTGAAATTAGATTTTCTCTATCTCACTGTGAGGGTCTAGTCAAACACAGTAATGTTCCTCCCTCCTCTACAATCTTAGGATCCTAGGCAGTTTGTTGTCTTCATTACATTCGCTTACCTGTTCGAAGAAATCTAATATGAAGTCTCTTCCTATTTTTTGGCTCTGATTACCATATTGCTACCTCCTGTCCTCAGCCAGCCCTACACCTCCTTTCCACCTCCATTTTTTTTTTTTTTGTACCGGGGATTGAACTCAGGTCCTTCTGCTTTCGAGGCAGATGGTGGAACCACTGAGCTAAATCCTTGGGCCCTCCACCTCCATTTTTGAATACGTTATCCCTGGTGATAACTCAGTGACTGAAAAGACCTCTGTCCCTTTCTAAATACAGATGAATGAGTGAAAATACCCTTGAGACACACATTTCACTTCTGCATATCTTTATATGATGTTTTGATCTTTTGTCTCTTTCATCTCTACTCCCTTCAGCATTATCAGGTTTTCTTTCTATCTCCTCTGCCCTTTGTACCAAGCCTCCCAGAGAGATGTCCCAAAATTAACTTCCAAACTCATTATCTGGAAATATTTCCTGGTTAAAAACTCTTTTGAAACTGAGACACTATCTTTTTCAATTTACCCAAGAAAACTTTCTGAAGAAATAAATCATCAGATATACTCATATGTAGTTAACACTTATACCCAGTAGGCATCTGCTCTCATTTGCAGTTTAACCTGGACCTGTTGACTTTGAATATGAATGAATACTTAAGTTTATTCAGATCATCCTTAGCAAGAGAAATTGCCTTGAAAATATTTTAGTCTTACTCAACTATGTTCTCTGAAAAAAAAAAAAGGTGCATTTCCACATACAAAGCTGTCCAAAAGTCCACAGGCTGTCACAAATGACTATGTGAAATCTCTTCAACTATAGTAATCTGCCTGAAAATTACAAGGTTTGCTACCAAGGAAGAAAAATCATAATTCTGCATCCAGGCCAACTTGTTCCAGCGAAGTCATTTCTCATATGACTCTTAGCTAGGTGTGCCTCTATTTTGTTATGGGAGATAATGATAGTGGTTATTATTTGTATCATTTTATTAGCATTGCCTCTGAGCACCCTGTAACTCTGATTTGTTTGACAGTTGACATGGCATGTTTAAATCACAGAAAAATTGGCATATTGGCTGGTAGATAATAGTGCAGCTGTAACTGGGTTTGGTACATTGAATTTCACTGGCATTGCTACTTATGAAAGGAGAAATAACTCTTTTTTCTTGCCTCATCACTTATGATTACAGAGCCCAGACAATTCAAGCAATGTAGTGAGTGCTAAATGTATGTTACTACTCTCCCTGAAAGATACATCTGTGTCCCTCTGGGCCTATTTCTAACATTTAAAGGGGAAGTGCTAATCATATTTCATAAACACCTGAAGGTAAAGGGATGACAATGTCCATAACTTGGAGAAGAGATTGACCAAATCCTCTCATTTCTCTCTGAACTGATTCAAGAGACTTAGAGAAAACAAGGTTTATATGGAACAATGATTGGATTTTTTTGTCTCCATTGCAGCAGTGAGTGAAGGACCAACCACCCAACAAGCATCCATGCTGCCCCCAGCCCAGCCTGAGCATCCCAGCAGTGAGGAGGCGCCAAGCAGAACCATCCCCACAGCATGTGTTCGACCAACTCATCCACTCCGCAGCTTTGCTAACCCTTTGCTACCTCCACCAATGGGTGCAATAGAACCGAAAGTCCCTTACACACCACTTTTGTCTCAGCCAGGTAAAGTGCCCCACATCTGCTTACCTTAAAATTCTTGTTATAATTGGTGCCTGTTCTTAAGTGGGGGCGGTGCCTGAGAAGACCTAGAGGTAATACATATTTTTAACATTGATTGCAGGTTCTCTGTGCTCATGTTTGATGCTGATGTTTGTAGTACAGTTCTGAACTATCTGTGTTATAAGCAGAGCAACTGGCTAGTGGTGTAGGTGCTTTTCGTGCATTTGGATAGTTGTTCATGAATCCTAAATGCCATCCATCACTTTTCCTGTGCTGCAGGATATTGGAAGCACTCCTGATTCCTTGATTCTTCATTCTTCTGTATGCATTCTAATATCTAGAACTAAACTCCAAGACCATGTACAAAACTCTGAAAAATGAGACCTTAGAGAAATAGATTTAATCTCCTCATTTGTCACCTCCCAGGGAATTTTAGTCACCATCTTCCTAAGTCAAAGTACTTGGACCAGAAAGGAGTGTCAGAACCAGTGTAGACTCTAATTTTAAAAAGAAGGACATCAAAATTTAGATAAGTAGTAATTCATGTATCTCTGATGTCTTGTCAGGAAAATAAGATGACAAGGATGAGAACCAGAAGCCCAGATTGGCAATGCAGTACTATTTTTATTACCTCAGTTGGTATCCAACAGGGATGAGCCAGAGCTGAATTTATTTGTTTGTTAGAAACTTAAAAAAGAGGGGGAAAGAGAGAGAGAGAGACAGAAGTACAGAGCAAAAAATGAGGAGGGGGAAAATACTGTATGGGTAGAATGAATGACAGATCAATTGATAATTAGATACATACAGATAAATATGTCATGGTTTAAATTATAAGGAACATCAGAATAATTCTAAACAACTCCAGTATATCTGGTACAGGAAAATAATGTTCAGTGATTCTAACTAAGCAGGAAGCTGGACTGGGCCAATCCACATTGTACAAATATATTTGAGTAATTTTCTGCTATCCAGGTCCATGTCTATAGTAGTTCTGCCATTACATTAGTACACAAGTCTCGTGGTGACTACAAAGACTAGAAAAATAAGATTTCCTATGAAATATGAATACTAATTTTATTAATATTAAGAGTATTTCTTGTTCCTTGCATCATATTAGTTGATTTGATACACTGTCTCCAATGTGCTCTATATTTATATAGCATGTAGAAAGTGCGCTCAGCTACCAGCTACCCACCTATAGAGGAGGTAAGGTGAACTAAAGGCGAGTAGCATTCCACTGCTTAGCATGAATGCTGCAAAACAGTCTTCCCTAAAATTCAGGCTTAGCAAAAGTTGGGATTTTGTTCCACCAAAGATCCCTTCCAACTCTTAATGGAGCCACAATAGGATTGAAAGCACAGCTATATAGCCCAAGCCCCTTCACCATACACTTGTAGTATACAATATGGGAAAGATCTACTTTACATTGCCCCAAAATAATGAGGTCTGAGATAAGTCTGACAATTTGAAGCTAAATGATTCAGTTAATGAATTCCTCTATCAGGAGGGTGCTAGCTGGTGATTTCTGGCTGCACTTGTTCCCTACTGCACTGCCAACCAAATGGAGAAGAACTTGTAGGAGATTGGATGGAAATGCAGGCTACATGATAAGTTGTTTATAACTCTCATCAATGACTAACCTTTTTATTGAACCTTGAATAAACATGTTCATCTAATAGGTATGCTTCTGAAGTCTTAAACATATCCTTTGATTTTTAAAGTAACTTTGTGAGGTAGCTGCTAGTCTTAACCCCATTTTATGCCTAAGGAAACAGGCACAAAGAATTAAAGTACCTTACTTATGTCTACAAAACTGGTAAGCAATGCATTTTTTCCTACTCTTTTTGACTTCAAAAAACATGGGTTCTGACTTTATTACTTTTATCGTTGCTGCGACAAAATACCCAGCACCCCAAGTTAAAAGGAGAAAGGTTTATTTAGCTCAGTTTATAGAGGCTTCACTCTATTGGCTCCAAGGCAGGGTGGCACATGGCAGAGGGGCAACAGTTCATGGTGGCAGAAGATAGCAAGAGCAACAAAGGAACCTTAACAGCATCTTTCTGATCCTTTTATCTTATTCACACTGCTGAGATTAGGGTAATGCCAAACCAATCACTGTGCTGGTTTAGTAACCATTCACCCTTAATCCCAGCATCACACACTCCCAGATTCAGCTACCTCTGAACAAGCTACCTAAGACTGTATGAGACTTTGGGGGGACATCTAGACCCAAACATAACAGGTTCTGAAATTTTAGGAACACCTTTGTTCCTCTAAGTATTTCAATTTATTTAGTGAGAAAAGCAAATTTTTAAAAACTAAATCATTGCCAAATGAGAAACATCAAAAGCCTTCTTCATTCACATTTTAAGAAAGCTAAGAGGCATTATTGTTCTATACCAAAGAGAACCAATTTTATAACATGAAAAAACTAAAGGGCTAATTGTACTTTGTACTATTCTTTCTACTCAGAAAATGTGTTCCTTAGCTTTCCATCACTATGACACATAACTGAGACAATCAATTTATAAAAAAAGATTGATTTTGCTCACCGTTTGGGAGGTTCTGGTACATTATTGGTTGGTTCTGTTGCTTCAGGCCTGTAGCAAGGCAGCACATCATGGAGGGAATGCATGGATGAGAAAACTGCTCTCATCATCAGGAAGCCAGAGAGAGAGGGGAAATGGGACTGGGCTCCACACTCCATTTTGAGGGACACTTCAGTGACCCACTAGGTACTGGTACTACTACCTTTTAATAGTAACACCCTGAGTATCAAGCCTTTAACATGTGTGCCTTGGATAGATATTCAAAATTCTACATGACAGTAGGAGATTTTTTAAAAGTAACTATGTTATTTAGAGATGAGAAATCCTGAAGATATTATGAAAGCTATCTTTCCTGAAAAATTTTACTGCAGCAGTGATGTAGTATGGAACACAGACCTGTACAGTGGAGCTGTACAATAACAAAATGATCAAAAAGAACTTTAATTTTAGAAAAAGCATCAGTGATAGATGGAAGAGAGCACCAGCATTTTTTCTAGCTGTTATTTTCTTCTTGTTACAATACCAAAGCTGCCTTAAACAAAAGCTTGACAAAATGTAACATAAACAAGTGAGACATATCCTTAGAAGGGAAGCAGAGTCAGCTGTATTGTCACTGTATTTCATCAAATACTAAGCGTATCTGAAAAAACATTCTCTGATCCATCGTCATGTAGGGAAAATCTCATTTTCTTTTATTTCCATTGTACCCTTATAAGCCTTTTTATTTTTTACTGTTGTTCTTGTTTTGATTTGAACTACTTCTCACAAGCTTTTCTTTAATATTTTCTAATATCTCTGGCTTGAGTTCTTTATTTGATTTCATTTTTACCATAGTTCCCCTTTAACTGCCACCCTCCCCCATTCAACATGAGACATACTCCACCATCATTTTGGAATTATTAAATGCCTTTCTTTTATTTTTCTCCTTCATTGTCTGCCTGTGATTCCTGTTCAATTCATAATGCCTTACCTCATGATTTTCAAATAAGTCTCCCTACCATTGCTCCTGACACATGGTAAATTGTATGCTTTTTAAAAGGGCTGATGTTTACTTATTCTAATAGAAAAAGAAAATTAGCAGACTGACAAATGTATTAGTGGTGACATTAACTACATGCTTCTTAACCTAAAAGATGAAATACTTAGAGCTTTCAACAAATTTTAATTCTAAGAAAATCATTAGTCAAACTGATTGATGAAGTAAAGTCATTCTCTTGTCAGCTTAAAAAAGAAAATACCTCAAATAATTTTACTCTGGGTTTCACAATAAAGGACTGTGTAATTAGAAATGAATTTATCTTTACTTACTGCAAGTAATTACTTTAGGATATGGTAATGTGAGGCACCCCCCCCCAATCTTTAAAGATCATGCTAAATGAGAATCTCCTTCTACTTTGAAAGCTTTTAGAATAGGATCAATGAAGAAATCCTTTCCTCATTCACATTGGTCTGTCTGGTTTGCCATGGGCAGTTTGAAGGGCTCTACCCCTCTGTTTACCTCCCACCAAGTCACACACAGTTATGTTTGCAGCAACTTTAAATGAGATAGAAGGCAACACATATTATGCAGTAACAATCTCCCTGGGACTGCAGAGCATTTTGCAGTATTGCTATGGTAGGTGGTAATTAGAAAGTCATCCTGTTGTCATAACGACTGAAATTCTGTGACCTGCAAACATAGATTCTTTCCTTCATTTCTTTTCTTTACAACCTGCTGAATTGGAAATTTAGCTTACAAGACTCTAGGGTACTTAGAGTGTTGCCTACAATTTCATCATCATCTTAGAATAAAGTGGTTCTATTTCTTAATGTTTCATCTATAGATGTGAATAACTGTATGATTCTTTACACATTTCATGGAGTGATCACTGCATTTTGCAAATCATAGAAGAAGATATAGAAGTGATAGGGCTTAGCCGCCCTTTCAGGTTAAATAGAAAATGTTTGATAGAGTGCTGGGCTTATTACATTATAGACCTGACATAAATTATACAAAGAGCCAAGGAAAGATGGAGTATGGATATGTGTGTTTGTGTGTTTCTTTACTAGTGCAAATTCCTTTTAGCTGAGAAGTGATCAGCTGCACTTTAAATGAACTTGGATTATGAGGCCACTTGTCTTCTTGAGTTGTAATTCTAAAAGGAAAGAAAATGTGACCTTCTAATAGTGACTTTTATATCATAACACTCTTTGATAACATTAGCCTCCGAGAGCTCTTGCATCTTTGTAAAATTGAATAAGAGTTATATTGTCCTCCATTCAAACATTGCTTTTCTACACATAGGTATTTATAAAAGCAAACCCCAGAGAATTCTGATCTTTTCAGTCTTTGGGGATCAATATGTCAGTGGACATGACAAGACCAAAACTCACTTCATTGTACTGCGAAATTGAGTTTGATTTTCCTCCTGCAAATTGTGGCATGTGCTTCAATTTGTCTGAGAATTGAGGACA